GAGACAGTTCTTCGGAAGAAGACAATCTATTCTTTAAGAAGTACGATAAAGCTAAGCCAGAACTGAAAGGTCCAATAAAAGATTTTTCACAGTAAGTGACAATATACTAGATGCGTTTTTATGCCCTTTTGAAGTATTTCTGCTAGTGCATTTAATTTGTTTAGCTTGTTTGCACACTCGTCACCAAGATTTACACTACCTTGTGAAAATATTTGATTAAATCAGAATTTTCCTTGAGATTTTTAGCTGATGCTAGAAATAATTTTCTGCTCTAACATACACACACGCCTGTGTACGGTCGCAAAATATAAGGTGTATTCTGTTTTGCCAGAGCAAGACTTTGACCAACAATTACTTTACAAAATCAGAGTAATGTAGTACTCCCTCCGTTCCAAAATAGATGAGTCAACTTTGTACTAAAGTTAGTACAAAGTTGACTCATCTATTTTGGAACGGATGGAGTAAGTGTTTTGTAATGAATTTTCTTTTGACTAGAAGATCAAACTAAATAATATAATAAGGTCTGATGAGTAATGTTTAACAAATTGGGATTTTAAGGACATCATTTTCATGTCACATAAACTATAGAGAATTATTGATCAAGGACTTGTTGTAAATAAACAAAATAAGTCATATATTTTGGGACAGTCATGGAGGGATTACAGTTTACCTCTGGGGTAATTTTTGTGTCTCGAAATCCAATAATGATAACAGTACTACACTTAGCACAAATATAGGTCCCAGTCATACAGAAGTGTAACGCAGCATCATATTCACTAAGAGATTCAAAATGCAACTGTTTTCCTTGAGAGATAGACCACACATAGGCAATTACTCAATAGCTGGTATATCTTCGTTGCAGTCTTACTTTTTGTTCATGCAGGCAACTAACTGATTTTATCCATTTTCAGATACGAAGATTATTTGCAGGAGTACAATGAGAAATATAAGGTCTACTCTTACTTGAACAGTCAGATAGAGAAAACACAGTATGTGCTGACCTGAATTTTTCCTTCTAAAATTCCCCTTTGTACTCTTTTTTAAATCCTTCAGAGTCCATGTTCTATCTTCTCCTATAACTTAGCATGCTTTTTATGCAGGTCTGAGTTCCTAAAGGTTCAGGAGGATTTCAATGTTGCCAAAGAAAGAGACAAGGATAAGTACTATAACATTGTTGACAGACTCAGAGACATGTACCATGAATCGGGAACAGTATGCTTTCTGCCTGCCTTTTTCTTCATTGATTGAACCTGAGTATACATGACTTTTTACAGTTAACTGATAATCTGTGCTTTGGGTGGTGTGTGCGTGTGTGTGTGTGTGGTGGGGTGGGGGGTGGCATTGCATTAATCAAGATCTTGGCATTCTCTGCATTTCTTCATTATTTCTTACTGAGGACATTATATTCTCCAGAGGCATAAATTGATGAAGAAGGTCTTCGTATTGCTTCATGAAGAATTGCAGGTGTGTAATATGATCTTTGAGTATGCTTTTTGGTAGTTGACTCCAGTTGATTTCATTATCATTTGAGTTGACCTCCATGTGTTTTGTTTCACTTCGGTTTGTGGCATGTATTTTGATTCTATTGGTTATTAATTCCCCAGAGTATCAAGCAAAGAATGAAGGACTTCGCAAAGGACTATTCGAAGGATTAATGGTCCACCCTCATATCATGTCAGTGGTTTTGAAGTAATCTTTTGCCTGAAGTACGTTGATACATCTTACAGATGACAATGACTTTCTGCCCATGCATGCAGGGCATTCGCAACTGTTTTTTCAGAAGCTGTTACCCAGCATCTACTCTGAAAAATGTCAGGAACCTCGCTTCATGCTTTGCCTTTCTAAGAAAGGAGTCCCTGGTTTGAACATTCAGATAAGGCATTCATCAGGTGACGGAAAGCTCACGGTTTCATCAATTGTTCTGCTGAATTTCCTAGTGATCACAGTCACAGCAGCAACAATCGAGGGTGATGCGGTGTGGTACAAGGAGTAACACCAACGCCTCCACACGCGCCATGTCCGTGGCAGTGTGAACAGGTGAAACTTACCTAACAGCGGTACTGTTGAAGGCGGTTTTACAACATCAATTTTGCAGGCAGGTAGATAGGAACTGTGCCGGGACGGGGTTCCCCCTTTGTAGATTTTTTCCTTCTTTCTTTCTTTCTTTCAGTGAGATCCCTCCCCGTCCTAGCTTTTGTATCAATCTGATCAACTCAATTCTGTTTCACCTTGTACATAATCTGTAGACCAAACTAGAGTAGTATTTGATGGAGGTGGGGTAATCACGGTGTATTCCTCACGTAACGTGTTGATGCAGTGAAGCTGTTGAAGTGTGTTAACATGGGAAGTGACGAGCTTGTCAAAACTATTTATCTTTGGCCAGTTCTTCTCAGTACTGTAGATGTAGATTAACGTGTGTGATTGTTTTTACAACTAATAAGATCTACTCCCTCTGTTCCTTCGTTCAAAATATAAGGTGCATTAATTTTTTAAAAGGTCAAACTTATCAATGTTTGTCTTTCTCAAATTTATTGAGAAAGATATCAATACAGACACTACCAAATCAATATCATTAGATCATCATGCAACTTTCATATCTATTTATTTGATATATTGAAGGCGTTAATATATCTTTTCTATAATGTCAACTCTAGAAATGTTAGTTAAAAAAAAACTCTAGAAATGTTAGAAGTTTTGAGAAATTAATACATCTTAGGGCATCTACAGCTGGACTAGACCGTCACAAAATTTGACCCCTCAAAAGTTGGCGGACGCGCATGATCAATTCGATCAATGTTCGTTTTGAGTCCCTATTCGTCTATGCATGCAGCCATGTCCCTCACTTTTTTTACCTATACGTCCGATCATATGCATGTGATTGACGGGGAGGAAGAAAAAATGGTTCGTGGTGGGTCAAATTCTATGTGAAGAAAAAATGGTTCGTGATGGGTCAAATTCTATGTGACGGATGCATGACCACTGACGGGATATATCCGGGCCTCGTATTGTCCCCTATATGGCTGAGTATGAGGAGTGCTGCGGGTTTAGGAGGCTTTGAGTGGTCTGGTTGAGTTAACCTTTTTTCCTTCTCTTTCCTGCCCGGTCAGTAGTCCTAATTTTGCCCAGTCAATTTGAAGAATCCGTCTGTAGATACTCCTATGAAGTACTACCCTTGTCCTGGTTTATTGGTCCCTTTTGTTTTTTGTGTCAAATTTTAACTTTAGATTTAACTATCAAAAAGTTAATGCATGTCACAAAAACTATGTACAAATACAGGGATACATTTTGGGTGACATGCATTTATATTTTGTTAGTTAAATCTATAGTTAAAAGTTGACACAAAATACAATGAGGACCAATAAACCAGGACATAAGTAGTATGTTTATTGATTAAGTAAAAAAAAGGTACAAAAATCAGAGTAACTAAAACATACACCATCTACAAATATGTCAATAAACTCTGAAAGTTACAAATGTTCTATGGAGCACAGAGTCAACATCTCTAAGTTTGTCGTTCATATTCTGATATCTCCATGCTTTAGCTGGTGATGAAAACTAAAGTTCAAAAGGCTGAAAACTGTGCATGTATTTTAAGCAATAATTGATCATCAATTTGATTGATAAAATACGAGTCATATGTCGTAAAAATTATACTCTCTCCTTTTGACAATGTAGTGCATATTAAGTTTTCAAAAGTCAAACTTGTCTACACTCGACCAAGTTTATATAATAAACTATCAACATGTAAAGTGCTAAACAAATAAGATATAAAAAATACACTTCTTGATATTTTTTCTATAAATTCAGTTAAACATTTACATGGTGGACTTTTCAAAATTCTAATATGCACTACATTTTGAAACGGAGGGCGTACCATTGATTTTTTTTAAATGTCAATTCAGCGAGATATATTTTGTCGCATATAACTAATATTGTAGTCAAATTTTCTTCAAATAATCGTATAGGCCTCGTAAACTTGAACAGAGGGAGTATGTTTTGAAGAGCCGCACGAGTCGTTCACCCCAAAGAGGCCAGAACATAATGTCGTTAAATGAAACATGGTCTTGGTTAACCCCCCACAAAACATGTGAATAAATTGTTGCTTGGGAGCGACACTAAAGAAGACAAAATCTGATTAGTGTGTGCCTAGTATGGTGAACCACTAATGATCCCATCCAAACTCAATGGATCAAATGTAATGACTGATGTATGTCGATGTATGAATCTTGTCATGGCATATTCAGTTTGATGCCAAAAGAATTAGCACATCTCAGATTTGGTAGCAAACTAGATAAGATGCTTACCTTTCTTCCAACCAGTTTTTTAACTCATATGGTTACTACGTCTGCAAAGGCATGGTTTAACATGATATTAAAGAAGACATGATATTTAGTGTGAAATAATATAAACCTCAAAACTAATATTATTTCCTATATATGTCATCATATTTAGTGTTGTTCCTTATATATATTGTGCTAGTTAGTTTTCCTTGTAGGTTCTAAATGATACTAGGAAGGGATACCAGAGGCAACGAAGAACTTTTATCTTACCAAAGTTTGGCAGGGTACATTTGGATGGTTATCAAAGCTCACTCTATCAATTTTTGGGGCATGCCAAAAAATTGGTCTTTATGTCAGTTGCCATTTACTCTTTTTTGCATAGCAATGACTCTTTGTTCACTTTTAACTTTTTTTGCTTTTCGATGTTGACTAACTCAAAAACCAAACATACAACGTCCAAATGCCATAAGCATTTGCGAACCAACCTGTGGTTCAATGGTTAGGAGTATAATGGTATCTCCAACCCACTAGCCGCTTTCTCCCCCCACTGACCCACTCCAACCCGGCTCCCTGGAACCCGCACCGCACCCATCCATTCCCCGGTTCCGTTCCGCCCCCCTCGGCTGGAAGGCGCGAGAGCTTCCGGAAGCATCCACCGAATCGGCGGCGGGCGATCGGGGAGTGTCGCTGCCGCTGGGGTCGCGCTAGCCGGCGCCGGAGATGGAGATGGACGCGACGGAGAGGCTGCGGTGGCGCTTCTCGGACGGCGGCCTCACCGATCTGCTCGACGCCCGCAGCCTCCACGGCTCCCCCGTAAGCCCCCCTCGGAATGGCCGAGCCCTCCCGCCCTCTCCGCGTTCTAGGCCTGGTGGCATCTCTGCGTTCTTAGCTTCGGGCGAAGTTTCTGGCTCGAATCGCCGAGGGGTTTGCATTTGTACGGCGGTGTTTCTCGATCGGGCTGACATTTGGAAGGGCTTATGAACGTGGGGAGGGAGGGGAGTCCGTCGCTGTTTGAGTCGTTCCTATGTTGGCAACGGGTTGGCGCGGATTATGGTAGCCTTTTTGATCAATTATTAGTTCGGGGTCTGGTCTCTGGTGTAATGCTGCCAATAGCTCGACTGCTTGAAGTCTGAGAGTGACGCAGTTGCTTGTTGATGTATGTATCGGTTGCGTAGCTGCGCAGATATCTGAACATTGGGGTAGATGCTTCTCAGGAAATTGGAATTGATTCTGAACATTGGGGGACGCCAGTATCACCTGTTTTATACTGTTATGTGCAGGTGAGTTACTTAGAATGTAGGCGAAAGAATCAACAACCCTCCTAATGCATTTTTTATGGTGGGCTGTTTTTTAGGCTGAGGAGAACAATATGGGCTGTGGCTAGTGAGTTGTTCGATTACTTGGGCAATGTTACTGGGTACCAATGTCTACTGTATTACAAGTTGGAACTGTGATGTGAGTTTGGGAGGTCATTATCTATGTGCTATGCTCTTGAACCAGCTTCTTATCACTTTGACCTTGTGTTTGTATATGGTCTCCTTGAATGGGAACTAATTATTATTATTATTATTATTTTTGCGGGAAGAATGGAAACTAACCGTGAGATGAATTCATGGGAACTAGGATTTTTGTTCAAAACCTTGTGTTGGATTCTTGGACATTCTGCAATCATGCATATTTTAGTCACATTAGCAGTCATAGAATAAACACTGATACAACTAGATACAATTAACGATTTTTTCTTTTCCAGGACATTGGAAAGAGAATGCAGTTCCATTCTTCTCTAGTACAAAGGCTTGCTTTAGAAAAGGAGATTGAGGTATTTGACTCCTTTTGTTGTTTATCTTATCATATGCTAGTCTCTTCACAAGAACAGGGAGGTTTGCTTGTTTCCTGTGTTGGAATTTTATTTGCTTAGAAGGAAGCTGAAATAGTGAAGTTCTTCGCTGTATCTTTGATTTTTACTGGATTGCCTTTTGGTTTCCCGTGCCATTTAACAGGGTCACGTAGGTTGCGTGAATGCTATTGCATGGAACTCAAGTGGCTCACTTCTGATATCAGGATCAGATGACACTAGAGTAAGTTTCTGGACGCTAATTTCTCATCCATTATTTTCATGCTCTCTGTAGCTGGTAGAGTTGCATGAACTATTTACTTGTCTTGCAACATACAGTAGAATTTTTCCTGCAGTTCTTTGTTGACTGAGATTTGAATTTTTGTTACAACCTTAAGTGGAAAGCAATCTGAATGATATAACATCATTTTCTTGCAAAATAAATGTTGCTCAGAGTTAGAGATGACACAATCTTGAAGTTGAACATTTTCTATATATGATTTTGTTTCCAATGGTATATCCTTGGACTGGAAAAGGGCGGAGAGTTTGATGGTTGATTCAGTTTACTGCTGTATCAATACGTGTTCTGCAGGTCAACATCTGGAATTATGCTAATCAAGAGCTGTTGCATGAAATTGATACTGGACATTCAGCAAATGTATTTTGCACAAAATTTGTACCGGAAACATGTGATGAAGTAGTAGTTTCAGGAGCAGGAGATGCTGAGGTACAACCTTTTGTGGGATGTGTTTTCACTTTTATCTTTCCGTGTTATTCTGAGGCATCCTTTCAGGAGAAGTTTATTGATTCTTTTTCAGGTTCGTGTTTTCAATTTGTCTCGTTTAAGTGGCACAAGGCCTAGGGAGATTTCCATGGAGCCAGCTGCAGTTTACCAATGTCACTCAAGGAGGGTCAAGAAACTAGCTGTAAGATCCTAGTCTTATGTTGAACGCCATGATTGGAATATGGAACCGTATAGCATGAAGAAAATTTGTCTTTGAATTGCATCTAAGCTTGATGTTGTTCCTAAATGTATGCCCTTCTGGATTTTAGTATCTTTTCGAGAAGAAAGAACGATGTCTTATTTTCAGATCTTTGCACCACTTGAGAGATGTTCTACTTACTGATGCATTAAGATTCACACTGCCTGGTTCAACATTCATAATTATGTTTATATGCAATATGTAGGTCGAAGGTGGCAACCCTAATGTAGTGTGGAGTGCAAGTGAGGATGGTACTGTAAGACAGCATGATTTTAGGGAATGCAGTTCCTGTCCTCGTGCAGGATTGGTTAATCAGGAATGCCGTAACGTGCTTGTGAGTATTCTAACTGTTGGGTTCCGCTTCTATTGTGGTTTCTCGTTGAGCATCTGATTCCACTTGAATTTAGCTTTTGTCCTTGAGAGCCAAATACAAGTGGCCAGTTATAGTTGTATTACTTTTAAATGTTTCTCTGTTTGAATTTTGACGTGGTTCTCTTTTTTGTTCCATGAACCCTTGAACAAGTACAGACAGAACTAAATGAGCCTATGTTGTTTTATGCTTGTGCATCACATTGCTATTTACCAGATGAATGGACCTGTAATGCTTCATTTGTGTGGACTATGGTAATATAATTAGTTTAACTTTGCAACCAGCATGTTGTTGCTTTCAGTCACTTCCTCTCAGGATTGGTATGATCTCTGATGTTTATTATGAGTCCTTTTGGAAATGCCATGATAAATATACCCGTAGGATAAATGCTGGCTGTAAAGTTAGTTTAGCTGGGTGTGGATTTGGTTTTGATTCCAGTTTCTACATTACATGCGTTTTTGACAGCTAGATCTACGATGTGGAGGAAAGAAGTCTTTAGCTGATCCTCCCAGACAACCGCTGTCGTTTAAGTCTTGTGATATAAGCTCAGTTCGTCCCCATCAGCTCCTTGTTGGTGGGAGGTAACTTGTTGTCATAAATTAGTCAGTGCATGACAGGCCTTGCCCTTCAAATTAAAAAACATCACCTCACAACTTGATTTTTGTGCAGTGATGCGTTTGCCCGGCTGTACGATAGGAGAATGCTTCCACCATTGAGCTCATGTCAAACAAGAAGGAAGCCACCGCCTTGTATAAAAATGTTCTGTCCATTGCACCTTGCTGAGAATGTGAGTTTTTCTCTGTGCTTGAATAGCTTCTTGTGCTGCTCCAGATAGTGCATGGTAAAGGCGGCAGTAGTTATTGCTTGCTGGTATCATATGGACTGCTCTTATATTTTAGAGCTACGGGGTTGCTTGAACTTGATTATTTGAGAAAATACTTTCCTGAAGAGTTCCGTTTTCTCCCAGAAATCGTGCTACAGTATTTGGCATAGAATTGGCAGCTTTGTTTAGTTTGAGTTCAGAATTCTGTTACCTGTTGCTTTCAAAGTGACTTTTCTGTTACATTCATTGACATTTGGCCTCTGCATTTTGTAATCAGAGGAAGTCAAATTTGCACCTTACCCATGTTGCGTTCAGCCCGAATGGGAATGAGGTTCTTTTGAGTTACAGTGGTGAACATGTATATCTATTTGATGTCGACCCAGGTATGATTGTTCAGCCCCCTTTGTGTATGCATCCTCATTTTTGTTATCACACTTTTGCTTGCTTTCTGTCCACTGCCAGTGTTGATATCTTTAATACTATTCTGGTCAATTTATCTGTGTATATTTTCAGACAATACGAGTCCAGTGAGATACACAGCAGATGATGTACGTGATCAGTTATGTTTACTGCCTTTTCACAAGGAACCAAGAAAACAAAAGTCAAAACGGGATAAGTTTCCAGCTAAGAGAAATTTGTGTAGGGTGAGCAATCTTCTCTCTGTGCACTTGCTTGGGTGCGCTTGCGCTTCTCACTTTCGTAAACATGGCCTCTTCGTATCACACTATCACATATGTTGCCTGGTTTGCGAGACATGTTGAACTTCTCTGCCTTTCATGGCACCTGTTTCAGGTAGATATGTTGAAGAAACTTATGCAAGTCGTGATAAAATCTCTGGAGACTGGCACAAACCTAATGCATGGCATTGAAGCATGCTGTGAAATACTTGAGGCCCTGGAATCTGATATTGATGATAGCACGAGACATGATTGTTTGTGTACCCGTGCAGGATTGTACCTAAAGGTTTGCTATCATTTGTTTATCGGTTATCAAATCTCTGTTCTGTAACTCAAGCGGGAGCTACGTTCACCGGACCCTGCGCAAGCAGGAGCTACATGCACCGGGCTGCCCTTTTTTCAAATCTCTGTTCTGTAAAAGAATACTGAACTTATGGTTTGCAGCGGAGGTGGAAAAATGATGTTTACATGGCTATTCGGGATTGCAACGAAGCAAGGAGTATTGACTTTGCATCGTTCCAGGCACACTTGTTCATGGCTGATGCACTGTTACAGGTAAAAATGTGTAATTATGTCAAAGGTTGTATGCTTATACTGCAAATAATGCTGTACCATCGTCCATCAAACAAAATTGGTCTAACCCTGGTACTTTGAGTTGCTTTGTGCACGGTAACTCGAGTTGCTTTGCCTTTGTTAGGAGATTCTAAATCTGTGTTCAAGCCTGTTTAGAATGTTCTGTTTGTGCTACCTATTCTTTTGTCAGACGAAAATGAGCATATTCTAAAGCAATTCTGCTTAGGTGGATGCTTAGATCATACCGATTTGATCACCCCTTTGGTTAATCATGTCTGCTATGATTGGCTCCTTGTAATCCACAACCACATGCCTACCAATTGATGCGTCTTGTTATCTCACTAAAATTCTTTATCTCCTAAATCCTCCTCGTTTAGTCTGGAGTGATAAATGAAGAGATGGAAACTCGGTACATTCTCCATCTCTTACAAATATTTGCTTTGCCTTTTGTAGTTAGGAAGACTGAAGGAAGCATGTGAATATGCAGAAGCTGCACATAGTCTTGTTCCACCAAATTCGGTGTCTGCGGAACAGGTGGAAAATATAAAGAAGCGACTTGCTGCTGGTGAGTACATTTGACATAGAAACAATTGTTTTGTCCCGCATAGCTACACCATGTGAATTTAATATTTGGGGATTGTTATGTACTCACAGCTTCACATGCTAAAAGATGGCCTCTCCAGTGCACATAGCTCAGTAACCTGTTAATATTCCGTGTTCGGTATTATTTCTATGAAAATGTTAGTGCTCACAAGAAACATATACATGCAAATGTACCAGTACTTTTCTATATATAATATTCCATATTAATTTTCCACGTAATTTCTGCTGCCACAGCTGTTCGTAGATCCATTGTATTTATTTTATAGCTTCTCGTATTGAACTTGAGGATTTATTGGGATTGGGAATTCTATGATGCCAATGGATTCAAGATTTTATTGTTGCTTGTATCCAGAATATGTGATATGTTGCTGTTAATTTTTTGAAAGATCTGATGGATTTATGTTGTTCAAACAGCTGAACTTGAGAAAAATAAAAAAGATCAACAAGGAAATACTAACACTGATGCGCGGCATGGACGGTTACGGTCATTGAGTGATCTACTGTTCAGATCAGATGTTAGTGGGTCATCATCACAGGAGGGCCGAGAAGATTCAGATTACGATGATGAGATGGAGTTAGACTTTGATACATCAGTATCGGGTGATGAAAGCCGTGATAGTGATCCAGGTGCTGTTCGAGGTAGCTTACGTCTAAAATTGCACCGAAGAGAGGACAAAACTAATGAGCAGACTGTTGGGAATGGATCAGCTGAGTCCACTTGTAATGGCGATTCTGCCTATGAGGTTCTTTCTTTCTCATCCTACTCTTTTATCTGAATGTTAAAGTCCCTGGTACGGGTTTCTCTTTTTCGTGTCCTATATTTGTACTTGCATGGCTTTAATACCATCCTGTTGTGCAATGTAGCCGGATGTTGCCATTGATATGAAACAAAGATATGTTGGGCACTGCAACGTGGGGACAGATATAAAGCAAGCTAGCTTTCTTGGTGAACAAGGTTAGACTATTAAGCTGTTTCTTCTTGCATGCATGTTCAGTTTTTGTTTAAGTCGATAGTCCAGCTACCAGCCGTTTGTATGACGGATAACAGAAGACATCGACCTTTTATAGAAGGCGTACAGCTGCGCACCTTTCATGCACCTGTTGCTAGGTTTGGTGTGGGCTTTTTCCTTACCTTTCTGAGTGAAAAATCCTTTCTTGGTCGGTTTCTTATCATCGGTAATGCTTTTGGATTAAAATAAGAAGTGCAAAGCTCTTGCACATTCTCTATTTAATCAAATACCCTCAGATGTTCAGAAAACAAGTCATGAACCAATAAAGAGGTTAAACTATCCTAGATTGTGGTGTGGCATATAATTAGCTTCTGCAGAATCACTTGCTTTGATTTGAATTTATGCAAATTTACCAAATTATCACAAAAGTACACTCCAAAGAAAAGTTATCACCTGAGCAGGCATTATTTGGCATGCATATCTCAAAATAACATGTTTAATGAGTTCCTGTTCTAGCCACTGCTATTACGAACCAGACCCACTTGTGATGGCCACGTTATTTTTTGCGTGTTATGCGACGACTGAGACGGAGCTGCCACGTTGGCCAGCTGACTAGGTCTGCCTTATTGCTCTGATACTCCTCCGTGATTCTCACCCTGCTAACATCAACCAAGAGGTACAGACTGATGTATAGTCTCAGCAGCGAAAATTACCATGTGTTACTTAAAGGTAGGCTCGTTGATCAAAGTTGGACGTGAACTCATTAGGGTGTATTTTTGCGATAGATATGTCAGAGTGGACCTATAGTTTTATGAAACAAACCCGCATAAGAGTGTAGTTTTGTCGAAAGTAAGTCTTAAAGCTTAATTTGATGATAGTTTACTCAAAGTATGTGTATACCATTAAATTTAATGCAATTCATATGTACTATAAATGTGCCTAATGCTGTATTGCTCTTACGTTAGGGGAATTTATTGCCAGCGGAAGTGATGATGGTAGATGGTTCATATGGGAGAAAAGAACAGGAAGGCTTGTTAAAATGCTTGCAGGGGATGGAGCTGGTAATTGCAATTTCATTTCTTACCGTGGCTATCCTTGAGTGCTGTTTCTCATGTGCCCCTATATCTTCTTTAGTTGTGAACTGTATACAGTCTCATCCCTATGATTGTGCTGTTGCGACGAGTGGAATTGACAATACAATAAAGGTATATGATCTGATCTTTTTCTTTTCTTGAAGTACTTAAATAATTTGCCCTCGCTATTCACTTTGTCTTTGTTTATTGCTAGTTATGGACACCGGACGCAGAAGGTACTTCTATGGTTGATGGACCAGAAATTGATGTGTTAAGTGCCATAGAGAACAATCAGAAGAAGTTATGCCGCAACCGTGAAACTTTGTTGTAAGCTGTCAAAACTTCCTCAGGAGTTTAGCCATATGCTATTTTGACTTGCAATGAAATTACCACATCTATCATGTGGTACCATGCTGTTTCTTTTGATCTGTCTACCAAGTTTACATAGAAACTAGCTACTAATGATTTTCCTATGTTACGTATCTATGTGCAGGCCCTTTGAGTTTTTGGAACGATTTGGGGCGCATGAATTTGCTGAAGGAAGCTTGCATCCTTTAGAGTGTGCGCAGACTTGATATACTATTGCTTGGGTTGCTGAGGTACTGCTGTTTGCTGGAGATCTTAGGGCATTCCCAACATTTTACCCGGGACAAATCTGATAAATATGCATTGAGCTGGGTCACTGGATGCAAATAATGTGAAACTTCACATTTGCTCTCTGATTTCGGCTTTTGATTTGTTCTTTGTTTGACTTTTCAGGAAAAGGGCGAGGGGCATTTAATCCAAGACACAAGCAACCAGTGTTTAGGTAAAAATGAGATTGCAAGGTCGTGCTGCAATCATAGCCAGTGTTTCGCACACCTGCTTAGATAATATTGCAGGTGTGCCGTGTCGGTATTGAGTTGTTGCTTGACAGTAAAGGCTGTTTGTTGGTGCATTCACTTGTACAGATTGTAGAAAAGCGAAGTCTTGTAATAAGTAAATCATCTGTACATGCTTCCATAATAGTGACGTTTTTCTGGTTTGTTAGTCGAGTTCTAGGGGCAAAGGTCGGCGACTTGGATGCTACGTCGTTGGGCAAGTCTACTGACAATACACAGGTGAGACTTCGGGCAGAGGCTACAGTAGAGTAGAGACATAGTGTATGTTGCTCTGTTGTGCGGTTCTGCCTTTTGTGGTTTTGGATCCCAAATGAATGTTTACACGATTGCTTTTAGTTCCGTGTAAGTGACGTGATGCAGTAGAGACATCACCATCGACAATTCAGCCTACGTCGTAGGTTGACGGGCAAAGTGGCGAACACACAAAAGGCGAAGTGGACGTGTTTCTCTTGGAGTTGCAAGGAAGTGATGGAACCACATCGACGCTAGGCTGGTGTGGGGATTGTGGTCCGTGACCACTTGGGACGTCTTATAGCATGCAGATGTATCCAATATGTAGGGGTTTCTGAACCCTTTGTGGCCGAGTTACTAGCTTGCCGTGATGCTATCCTGATGGCCATTGAGAAAGGATGGTCTAGCATACTACTTGAGACAGATTGCCAACTAATTGTACGTGACTGGATTGAAGGAAATGACCGATCTGCACTTGCCCGTCGGTCTTCCCCTCTGGTGGCCGGCTGGTGTTCCTTCCTACCCACACCACACGATGCCCTCCTTTTCACGGCTTTGCCACTGGAAAACGACACGCTATTTGTTTTTGTCTTTGTTATTATTATTATTGTAGGTTGTCTTGTGTACTCGCCCTTGTAAGATGTGATATTTACCCAACCAGCGGAGATGTTCTATCCTGTTGTGCGTTTGTATTGTTCTTGTTCCTTTCACAACGCAAGTACTCTAGTTTTT